CTTCTTTGTGCCATTATTTGGAGCAGTCTCTTCTTGTTTTGAGTCTCCCCAGCAATGTTTTTACCATTCACAACTTGGAGTTGATTTTGTCAACGTGAGCATTGAGTTTCAGCTGATGAACTGTGACTGTTTCCTTGTGTACAAATAGAGCTTTTAAAAGGTTCTGGCCAGATTGAGAGAGATGCAATACAATCAACTCCCAGGTTCCACACAGTCCTGCAGTATTTTCGTTTGGAAGAAGAATCTAAATTATAGTGGTGGAAATTGCTCAATGCTTCAATCTGTATTGTGGATTGAATTGCTGTCCAGATATGTATTTCATCCACTGGCTGACGACAACAAAAGTAGTTTTCTGCTTTAGTGTGTATTTCCATTTCATTCGTTATAATAATAATAATCCTTGCATTTCGTATGCAGGATTTGCCCACAAAATATACAGAAACTTTACAGTATATTTTGTGAAACGCTTTGAGACGTCTCAAAGATGTGATAAGATGCTATATCAAATGGAAGGATTATTATTATACTGTAAAGTGGTTTGACTGTATATTTGTGGGCAAAATACAGCAGCCAATTGTGCACCGCAGTTTCCCACAAATAGTCATGACTAAATTCTTATGGTTTTTTTTGAGTGATTATTATCCCCGGAAAAGTGATCCGCCAATCGACCAACAACCAGGTTCCTACTTATCACAAAGTAAACAGAAGCGTGTGAAGGAAGGAAACTTGCCCAATATTTTGCCCTTCCAGGAATAGAACCCAGGTCTCTTGCTTGCGAAGCGAGTGCTCTAACCACTGAGCTATAGGACTCCATTTTAAAAATTAAAATGATATAAAAAATTCTGTTTTTCCATTTCCCACTATTTCTTCATCTGTTCTGTGCGTATGTGCTCTTTTCATGTTGCTCTGTCCTTGCCTTTATCTCCCTTATATGCTGCTGAGAAGGAGGTATTTGGTAGAATTATCTGATGGAATGATTCGGTGAAAAAAGAACTTGCATTTTTGTAGTTGTCACCTTACCAAATCACCAGATTTGAGCAGAGAGCCCAGCAGAGTGAGGAGAGAACTGAGTGAGGTGGAACAGAGTGAGAATTCTGTTAAGGAATTTGGTGAGAGTGGGAATTCAGTGCAGAGGGGGAAAGAGGTGAATAATTATAAAGTATATAAGTTATATTGAAATAATATAAAACACATCTAGGAATATGGCATGTCAGCTGAGACCGGTTGCATGCACAATGTGTGCCATGTGGGAATCCCAGGATACTTTGTGTGCCCTGGACAGACACGTGTGGAGGAAGTGCCTCCGGCTGCTCGAGCTTAGGGTTTCTGAGCTTGACGAGAGGCTGGTGTCACTACATAGCATATGGGAGGCTGAAGAATTCACGGATCGAATGTTTCAGGAGGTGGTCACCCCACAGCAACAGAGGGTTCAGGAGGAGAGTGAGTGAGTGACCACCCAGCATCGAAGGAAGAGGGGATGGGCAGTGCAGAAATCCCCTGAGTGTGCGGCACTTACAAACCGGTTCTCAGTATTGAATACCAGTCAGGGTGATGACACATCTCGGGAGAGGAGACAAAAGCCAATGGATGCACAGGGGAACACGGAAGAATGTCAATACAATTGTCATTGGGGACACAACGGTGAAATGAGTAGACAGACGTTTCTGCAACTAAAGACGTGACTCTTGCATGGTATGTTGCCTTCCTAGTGCTGGGGTTGAAGACATCACAGAACGGGTGGAAAGCATTCTGCAGGGGGAAGGGGAACATCCAGAAGTCGTGGTCCATGTTTGGATCTGTGATGTAGGGAAGAGTACAGGGAGAGTATCAGAAGCTGGGGAAAAAGCTAAAGAGTAAAACTTCAAAGGTGGTGATCTCTGGATTACTCCCAGTGCCTCGTGCAAGTGAGCATCAAAACAGCAGGATCAAACACATGAATACATGGCTTGAGAAATGGTGCAGAAAGGAGGGCTTCAGATTCCTGGATCATTGGGACTAGTTCTGGGGGAGGTGGGACCTGTACAAGGTGGATGGGTTACACTTGAACAGGATTGGGACCAATGTCTTCTCAGGGAAGTTAACTGGTGATGTGGGGAAGGGTTTAAAGACATTTTGAGGGGGGAAGGGAATCAGGATATCACATTAGAGAGGACAAACAAGTTACATAGAGGGCTCGGAGAGACAAATAGCAATGTAATAAGGAGTAATCCTGAAAATAGAGGGATTAGATGGGGAGAAATGCAGAACAGACTAAGTTGGTCTTGGAGTACATGTGCGTAATTGCGTGGAGTGTAACAAATTGGGTTGGTGAGCTGCGGCTCAAGTTGCCACATGGGGTTATGATGTAGTGGCAATAACGGAGACCTGGCTCAAACAAGGGCAGGAATGGGAGCTGAATATTCCTGGCTACAATGTATTCAGGAGGGAGAGAGAAGAAAAAAGGAAAAAAAGGTGGTAATATTGATTAAAGACACGATTATGGATCTGGAAACGGACGATGTGCTCGAGGGTACAAAAACAGAATCTATTTGGTTAGAGTTAATGAGCAGAAAAGGAGCTGTTACTTTGTTACGTGTATACTATAGACCACCAAATAGTGGGAAGGAGATAGATGAGCAAATTTACAAGCAGATTTCAGAAAGATGCAAAACCAATAAAATAGTGATAATGGGGGAACCTCAATTACCCTAACACAGACTGGCAAAATAACAGTGTAAAGGGCAAGGAGGGGGAAGGATTCCTGAAATGTGTGCAGGATAACTTTCTAGATCAGTATGTTTCCAGCCCAACAAGGAAGGAAGCAGTGCTGGATCTAGTTCTAGGGAATGAAGTGGAGCAGGTTTCAGTAGGAGAGCATCTGGACAACAGTGATCACAACATCATGAGGTTTAGAGTACTTATGGAAAGGGACAAAGCAATCGAAGGTGAATATACTCAACTGGAAGAGGGCTAATTTCAGAGAGTTAAAAAGGGACCTAGCCAAGGTGTGCTGGAAAGAAAGATTGTCAGGTAAAACAGCTAACGAGAAATGAGAAGCCTTCAAGGAGTAGATAGTTTGGGGACAGAACAAATACATTCCCACAAAGGGGAAAGCCAGGATATTGAGAGGAATTTCTTTCATTTACTTCAACCAGCAAAAGGCACACACAAGTCATTCCACTTTATTGTATAGCCTGTGAAGCGCTTTGGGACATCTTCATGATGTGAAATGCACAATGTAATATGTAAGGATAATTATTATTTTTCGAATATTTCCTTGGGATCTTTAATGTCCACCTGAAGAACGTCTCATCCAAAGGCCATTACCTCTTGAGATTGCAGTGCTCCCCCAATATTGACTATAGAGTGCACTGGATTATCAGCCTAGACTTCACAAAGAATGTGCAACGTGGAAACAGGTCACTCAGCCCAACTAGTACATGACAATGTTTATACTCTACCTCAATAGATTACAACACTGCTGTTCTAACTCTCAAACTTATCTGAATTTTCTTCAAGTGCTTTCTCCGATGGATACAAGGGTCTTAATTCAATTTCTAGCGGTTCCAAGTGTACAGTCCACAGCAACGTACAATGTGCTGCTGTTTACGCACCCTCTTCACCGTTTCCTTACTCCCTCCCATACCTTTCTGTTCCCTCTCACTGATGTGAAGGTCTAGCTTCCTCTTGAATGCATCTAAAGACTATGAGCTCAAGTCCTGCCATGGTATTCAAAACCAGGGTCAGAAGATGATTAAATCTACAGTGCATGATCCTCTTGTGATTTACATTAAGCATTCATTAATGAAACACACTAGGATTCATAGTACACTTTAATAACAGGCTGAATCATGAATCTGATGCAAGCTCACTTGGGTCAGTTTAGAATTTAGTTTTTCTTTGCAAAAATTTCAGTGCGCCCACGATTTTTGACAATAGAATACTGCCCATATTTTTGCGAAGGTGATTTACCCAGTCAATGATGTTTGAAAATCCATAAATAGTTTTGATATCAGCAGAGCATCAGCAATGTATTGATTCTGCTTGAAATGAGGATAGGCATTTCGTGAAATTAACCCATTCAACCTTTTGAGCAAAGCAATCTAGGAGAAGTACATGCCAACTAGATAGTCAGTGGATTCATAGCATTCACTGTAGTCTGACGAGTCCAGCCCTAATCGGGAGTAGGTCATTTGGCCTGTTGAGCCCGCTTGCCTTAAGTCTATGGTGATTCTCAATCTCTCGCTTGATTGACTTGTTGGTCTTCTGAGCTAGGCATTGCTATGTAATAATAATATAATTCCTGTTATGACCTTTTATGTAAAGATGTTTTATTTTCCTGGATTCCCATTTGATTGGCTCAGCTCCATTTTTAAGGTCATGTCTTATTGTGGATTTCCCCAACTTGATTAAAGTCCGTTTCTATTCGCTATCACTGCCCTCGCACCCCCTGTCTAACACAGTGAGTTCCATTTCCCACAATAGCTACTGAGTGAACAGATCAATTTTCTAAGAATCAGTGCTGAATTATTTGCAGTTTTGTATGTAACCTGAGGACCGCTTATTTGAATAGAGTCAAGACCCTTGTATCCATCGGAGAAAGCACTTGAAGTGAATTCAGGCAAGTTCGAGAGTTGAAGGGCAGTGTTGTAATCTGTTGAGGTCCACAGCCCCTTAAACTGTATCTGATATGAGAGAGTTTGACTGTAATAAAAGTACAAATAGGAAAAAATCACTAACGGCTGTATAAATAGCCGGCAATATTTAATGCAGGAATTAAGTCTTGTGAAATTTTGAGTTTAATTGATTAAGTATCAAGCACGTTAATTCTTTATTCAAAATGCGTCATTTTTAATCACATCAAAAGAACTTGTTTAATCTCTATTGTATTTTCATTGTTCAAATGACAATGTTGCTCGATGCAGCATGAACAGCAACAACCGGGACCTACGTGATATAATGAGCCAAACTCTTTTTAAGGTAAATGACAATTATGACAATCCAGTTTCAATTCTCAACAGAGAGAAAAGGACAAAAGGAAAGATGAAAAGAAGAGGGGAAAAGATCAAGAAAAATCAAGTAAACCTCTTGGTTTTGACAAAGTAAAAATGGTGAGTTAATTTTTGGATGAAGAATAATGTCACTTCTAATTAATTAGGTGTCACTGCCTGAATTGCTAAACTGAAAGGATAATGGATGTGGGAGGTTTTTATACGGTTAATGACTTTGTGAAAACTGACAACTTTTTTGTTTGGGGAGAAGAAAATGGTAAGAATAAATGTTTTGTATTGTGTGGTTTCAAGAATGGATCTAAAAGATGGAGACCAGAGGGATTGAGCATTTCTTTCCCTTTGTCATTAAGTCAATCAAATACTTATGGGAAGCAGAGGAGGACTGGAGATTTCTATGTTATTAGAAGGTGAAGTCATTACCCAATGGAGTGATGTATCATCCTCAAAAGGTTTTTATACCCTTCTTGTACTTGGGTATTCATTGAAACCCTAACTGGCTCTAAAGTTCTCTAGGCTTTTCCTCCTTGGAACAATACACATCGTTTTGCTAATCATTGATCTGTAAGCGTAGATTCTTTGTCTTACACTGTATCTAAACTAAAGATTTCCTCCTTGGTTCAATGATTCAGATCATCAGTGTTGTGTAAAGGTATCAGAATGGAGGGTGGCTATCTGTGGATAAGATTATCCTCCACCCAGTCTTTCTACACTATCTCTGAAGGGCTGAAAATACTGATTAATGGTTAACATTCATTGAATTGTATTTTTGTCTCTTCTGAGAAAAGACAGAGACACATCAACCCAGGGGAGGCAGCTTTTCTGCAACACGGGAAGGCTCGACCGCATGGATGACTTGAGTGTCAAAGATCTTAAAAACACTATTTTCTCAGTGATTTCCACATTATCGATCAGAGCTTGCTTCTCGTGTATGTGGAGAATGATTCATTTTGAAAACGAAGAAAATCCTCTGAGGTTATTTAACAGACTGATAGTTGGGCAACGTTTTTGAAATATTTCCTGAAAAGTTCTTTGCTATTGTTAATTTTTTAAAAAGTGTTCCCACTGCTTGTCCAGCTACGACCGCCTCTGCCTGTTACGGCTTTGGCTTGCAGGATTCATAGGAGCTGAGCGAGATGATTCCCTGCCCCCAGTGACTGGTTTGTCCTTCTAAGTCCTGCCAATGAACCAGGCTGGGCTGTGCTGTCATCAGCAGCGCCCTGGAATACTGTAAACCCGCCTGGCTCAGGAACCGGACTACCAAGACCGCTACAGAGGACCGGATCGATTCCGACATTCTGTAGCCAAGCATCTCACTTAATTGGATTTACATGTAACCGAAGCTTGCCAATGAAGAGAGCTTAGTTTATTCTGTCTTGTTCAGAATAAATGTCTAGTTCGTAATAAACAAATTACTTGGGCAGAAATTCCCCAAGTGAAATAGTGCAGCCTCAATGCTTGACTCTATTGAAATTTGTGCCATTGTACTGTGGAGTCCATTCATTTTGCATGTGCTCAGCCTACCCATTCATTCTCACTTTCCTGCAGCATGTTTTTACACTAAAACAGCAGACTTCAGTGTCATTGGGTGGCAGTTGATGTTGCTTCCTGCTGTAGAAAGCAGGAAGTGGTGTCGGTGGCTACAAATGACCTGAAAACAGCCATTTTAGCTCCCCACACTTTTGACCTCGGTGACCACAAATCGGCCAGTTTTTCCTTTAAGCGTAGGAACTGGCTGGTACACAGAGGGCGAGTCAGAAAGCTGTGCACATGGGCAGTCAAACCAGCTATCACTCCTCACGATAATGGGGGTTAGGATTTTATGGGACCCAAATACTGCATTATAATGGGGTTCCACTGTTTCCTGTGTAGAACTTCAAATCATTTAATGGATTTAAAGCAACTGAGTAGTACATCACTGTGGCATTCCAGATTTTGTTTTCAAATTGTATACTCGTGCACTGTCCAACCTGTTTGATTAACACCTCGAAACTGGCAGCTTGCTCCTTTACAAATGTTTGACAGTCTTTTGTTTGATAGTAGCTATTATCACAATGAGCTGCATTTTTAATGGCAACTTTTAACTTCAGGGCTGATACTAGTGAAAGATTTTTCAAATATATTATATATAAATATATACACATTTGAAGTGCTCTGAGATGCTGAGGTGCATGGCGGGCACGATATAAATCCAAGTTGTTGTTATTGTTATGTGTGTTGGGTTCTGAAGGGCAGGAGACCAGAAAAAAGAAAGCCAAACCAGATGTATCCAAATATAAAACTTTTTAAAATTATTTTTGTCTAATTTTTTGAGTTGTAAGGATTGTTTTCTCTTATTGAAAACGGGTGCTGTCAGTTATGCATGGCCGGCCACCAGTAAATTATAAAATATACATGAGTGAATAAGATGTTTCAACTATTGCTGACAATAAGGTATGTTTGTCCAGTGCATATGATTTTTTAATGTTATGTGACTTCCTAACACACCGTAGAAAGACTTACTGAGTGTTCATTCAAGCGTGCCAAGGTATTTCTGATGAAGGCAAGCCACAGTGAATGGCAGATTTGCTGGCTGTTTGATCGGATGAGAAATTCTCTTGAAAGAAATCCATTAAAATTACTTATCTCAAGTAGTTGCATTATTGGCACTGTTGTTTGATATCCGTGATGATAGGATAGGAAGATGCAATGCAGATACAATCATTCTTCTCACACTGTATCCCAATGGATTTGTTGTCATATTTCTGGGTTGTCTCTTAAGGGCTACTCAGGAAGGTTTTGTAGTTGAAACCACTCTAGATTGAAAATAAATTGCATTCAAACACTAAATTCTTAAAACCAACTACTGACTGCACTGATAGATCGGGGGGAAGAATGATGAGATAAAATCTGCATATGAACGAAACATTTTATTACTCATTTGTTTACTCCGTGGTGTGATCGTTTATTTCAGCATATTGTGTTCAGTGCTTATTTTGAAAATTGGATAAATACTTGAGAAGAATATTAAACGGTGTGGGGAAAGAACAGTGGAGTGGGATTTGGGTAGCTAGCTCCATCAAGATAGCTTCCACCAGGAAGGTGCAATGGCCAATTAGCGCCCTTCTATCTGACGGTGTTTAATTCCTTTAATAATAATAATAATCTTGTATTTGATATAGCGTTTTTCACATCTTCTAGACGTCTCAAAGTGCTTCGCAGAATAGACTGTAAAGTGAATTGACTGTATATTTGTGGGCGAAACTCGGCAGCCAATTGCACACAGCAGTGTCCCACAAAGAGTCGTGGATTGAAGTGACCAATTTATTATTTTTTTTGAGGGAATATTATCAGACATGGAGTAAGGAAACTTGCCCAAGGTTTCACCCTGCCGGAAATCAAACTCAGGTTTCTCACTTGCAAAGCGAGTGCTCTATCCACTGAGCTACAGGACTTCTTCTACTGGTGGGTACACCACACTTGGGAGTCCTGTAATGTATTGATTAGAGCGCTTGCCTCGCAAGCGAATGGACACAGGTTTGTTTCCTTACTCCACACTGTTTGACCCTGCAGTAAGTAGGAACCTGGTTGTTAGTCGATTGGTGGATCGCTTTCCAGTGGTAGTAATCCCTTGAAATTTTTTTTATAATAATCTGGTTACTCAATCCACGACTGTTTGTGGGACACTGCGGTGGGCAATTGACTGCTGTGTTTCGCCCATAAAAACATGGTTAATTCACTTTACAGTATATTCTGTTGAGCGCTTTGAGGCGTCTCAATGACATGATAAGACCATAAGACATAGGAGCAGGAGTAGGCCATTTGGCCCCTCAAGCCTGCCCCGCCATTTAATAAGATCATGGCTGATCTTCTAACCTAATTCCATTTACCCGCCCTATCCCTTAATCCCTCTATTCTTTAGAAATCTATCAACCTCAGTCTTGAATATGTTCAAGAACTGAGCATCCCCAGCCTCTGGGGTAGAGAATTTCACAAATTCACTACCCTGTGAGTGAAGAAACGTTTCCTCAACTCAGTTCGAAAAGGCTGACCCTTAATCTTGAGACTATGACCCCTAGTTTTAGATTCTCCAACCAGGGGAAACAGTCTCACAACATCTACCCTGTCAAGGCCCTTAAGAATCTTATAGCTTTCTATAAGATCACCTCTAATTCTTCTACATTCTTGAAAATATAGGTCTAGTTTACTCAACCTATCCTCATAGGTCAACCCCCTCATCCCAGGAACCAACCTAGTGAACCTACGCTGCACCCCTTCTAAGGCGAGTATGTCCTTTCTTAAATAAGGAGACCAATATGCTAGGTGGGGTCTCATCAAGGCCTTATACAATTGCAGCAAGACTTCCTTACTCTTGTCCTCTAACCCTTTTGCAACGAATGCCAACATGGCATTAGCCTTCCTAGTTGCTTGCTGTACTTGCATACAAACTTTTTGTGACTGGTGTACAAGGACACCCAAATCCTAGTCTCTTCCCCCTCTAGAAAATAATCCGCTTTTCTGTTTTTACTACCTAAGTGAATAACTTCACACTTCCCCACATTATGCTCCATCTGCCACCTTTTTGTGCAGTTTAATCAGAAGTTGATGGATTGCAATCAGGAATGGGAATCATAACAATGGTAATAATCCTTGCATTTGACATAGTGCCTTATCGCGTTGTTGAGACACCTCAATGCACTTCACAGAATATACTGTAATGTGGATTGACTGTGTATTTTGTGGGTGAAATGCGGTAGCCAATTTGCCAAAGCAAAGTCCCACAAACAGCCGTGGATTGAGTGATCAAATTATTATTTATTTTTGGAGGGATTATTAACCCTGGAAAGCAATCTTCAATTGACTAACTACGAGATCCTACTTACTGCTAGATAAATAGAGGCGTGTTGCCTAAGGTTTTGCCCCACTCAGGAATTGAACTCAGGTCCTTTCGCTTGCGAGCTGAGTGCTCTAACCTTGGTCTATATAAGCCTCCTGTCATTGTATCTCCTGCCCAAGCGAACTGGGATCGAACTAGGCTTCCCAGTTAGTATGGCTCAACCACTCACTGAATAAACTCATTGACCTATCAAGGGAGTTCTTTTTCAGTCTTTTAAATGAAAGTCTTTGATTTATGAGTGAGTGGAAAACAGTTTGTATGGAGCTTTCTGTTTGCCTTGCACATTCCGTCTCTAGTTCTTTCCTGAATGTATTACTGTCAAGTTGTCTTCATTGTGCTATACCGTTTCTTTCCTCACAGGATTGTGATATGATTGTCATACTGGAACAAGTCCTTTTCCTAGTAAATTTTTGTTGCAGAGAAAGTCGTCACGTAATGCCGATTTTAAGAGGGAAAAATATTTGTTGTCTATGTGACAGCTTTTTACTCGTGGGGAAAGGTGCCTGGGGACAATTGGAGCCTTTGCTCCTGAACACATCCAGTCGTACATATTGCTACATCCTGTGATATCTGATCCTTCACGTCACCTTTTAGTTTTGCTGAATTTGATTCCAACTGTGCAGATAACAGAGCTTCACAGCATGAGCTCCACAATAGCCTCACCAGCTTTATGCAGTTGAATTATGCTTTGATTTCCTCTTTTGTGTGCCTCCCATTGCGAAAATCCTTTTTTAACTCAGAATCCAGATTTAGTAGTTCAGTGTCACTGTTAGAAACCGTGATGTGCACACAGCTTAAGGATTTTCAACTAATATTAATGCACATGATAATCACATTATGGAGCTCAAAGACTTGAACAAACTCTCACTTCTCTTGTTCCTTTTATCTTTGTTTGGTCTTTCTTTCAGTTTCTTTGATTCTGTTACACTTTTCTGCTTCGTGTTCCATTTCTCAATCTTTCTCACTTTTTTTTGTTTCCATCTTAGGTGGATCTCAGTTTGGTTTGGATACTCTTAAGCATGGCAAATGGGTTTCCGCCTGTGTCAGACACCCGACTGACAAAAAAAAATGTCCTTCTTGCTTTCTTGCTTCCACCATTGTCGAATATGTTCATAGATTTTCTCCCTTTAGAATCTTACAGCACAGAAGGAGGCCATTTGGCCCATCATGCCTATGCCGGCTCTTTAAAAGAGCTTTCAACTAGTACCCACGCTCCGCTCTTTCCCCATAGCCCTGCAAATGTTTCTTTTTCAAGTACCTATTCAATTCCCTTTTGAAAGTTATTGTTGTATCTGCTTCCACCACCCTTTCAAGCAGTGCATTCCAGATCATAACAACTCTCTGGGTAAATAGATTTCTCCTCATCTCCCCTCAGGTTCTTTTGCCAATTGTCCTCTGGTTACCAACCCACCCGCCAGAGGAAACAGTTTCTCCTCATTTACTCTTATCAAAACCCCTTATGATTTTGAACACCTCTATTAAATCTCCTCTTAACCTTTTATGCTCTAAGTTGAACAGTTCCAGCTTTTCTAGTCTCTCCACGAAACTGAAGTCGCTCATTCCCTCGTATCACTCTGGTATTTATTGTACCTACTTTTTATACGTTTTAAAATGCAACAGTTATTTATTTAATACGTTTTTTTCACTCCCCTGCTTTTCATTCCCCAGCTTGTGAGTTGAATGATCTCTTGCTATATTGAATATTGCACTGTCTAAGTGACTGAATCTATTCATCCTGTATAACTATTGGGTTATGTTGTCTTTTTTTCTCGTAGGGCTATGATTTTAACTATTGTCACAGCAGCACACTTTTTTCCTTTTTGAAGAAGACACTTAAGTATTATTCCTGCATGATTTCTTTTCAAGCCAGTGTAGAATTTATTTGAAAGCCTCCTATTTTCATTCAGTATTCCCAGTGACGAGTTGCTCCGATTGTGACCGTGTGCTTCCCTTCTCTGAATCTTATTCCGTCACAATCATCTGCACTTAACCTTCCTCGGAGTCGGACTTTGCCATTGTCAAGCGCTCCAGGACTCTACACTGCGTGAAGGCCACTATATAAATGCAATTTGTTGTTCCTTTAAACCGGGCTTTAACCAAGTCAATTTTTCTCCATCCCTGACACATTGCCAACAGTCAGTCACTATCTTACCCCCTTCGCAGCTGAAACCCTCAGCCACACCCTTTTCACCTCAATAACATTTCCAATGCCCTGCTCGCTGGTCTCTGTAGCTCTCAAGCTGCAGGCCATCCTGAGCTCCACAGCCAGAATCCTCTCCCACACCAGGCTCCGTTAGCCGCTTGGTTTTTCCTGCACCAGACTCCATGAGCCCATCACCCCCTATCTTTGTCTTGCTCTACCGCCTCCTTATGCCCCAACGGATCAACCTGTAAGGTCTGCACCTTGCCTTTCAAATTCCTTCATGGCCCCCCCCATTCTACTTCAGTGATCTGTGGTTATCCCACCTCCACCCTCCGCTCTTCTAACTTGCTTTATGTCCCCCATTTGTTCTGCCTCATCATTGGCATGTGAGCTTTCAGTCACTTTGCTCCATCCTCAAGAACTCTCTTCCCAAATCACTCCAATTTACTCTCTTCCTCTTAGATTTATTTTAGTTGGGTTTTGAATGCTACCTCTTTAATAATAATAATCCTTGCATTTGATATAGTGCCTTATTACGTCATTGAGATGTCCCAAAGCTCTTACAGAATATATCATAAAGTATATTTATAGTTGGCGAAACGTGGCAACCAATTGTGCACCACAATGTCCCACAAACAGTTGTGGATTGACTGATTTATTTGACTCTGAGTGGGAGCTGAGTCGGAGGAAGGGTAAGAGGGAGATGACAAAGCAGTCTTTGTACAGTACTTTGGGACAATGTTCCGATCTGAAATACCTACATATATAACTGTTGTAATCCAGATCCTTAATTACAGATTTTGTAGAACACGTTTCTGTTTGACCTGAGTCCTAACATGATTTGCTTCACCAGAACAGCTGCACGTACAGTATCTTTCACATGGTGCTTGATCATCCACCTCCCCACAATTACATTGCCCCAGCTCACGCTCACTTTACACAGTGTCAGCATACAGCAGGTCTGTGAGATATTTTGAGAACTGCCCTTAGCATAAACAATTAACTGGTATCTTTTCTTGAAGAGTAAAATTCACCAGCACAGGTACTTCACGTTGTTTTAGTGAAGGCACAAAAGTCTTTACTCCTTGTGAAACCCTCAATGTGGACATTAATGGATAGTAATTACGTACACAACAATTTACCAATGCTGCAATGTAAAAACTATCTGCTTCTCTTCCAGTCTCCTCCACATACCATGGGTTTACCCACCAGTATCCTTGGCCTAACTGGAGGAGACCAGCATACAGAGAGTATATCTGTGGTGAGTAATCTTTTATTGTTATTTGTTGACCTAGTGAAATAAAATTCATCCCTTTCCTTTATCTGACCTGGCGTTTTAAGCTTATGTTTAGTTTGGTTTCGAGGAATGCGGTTGAGGAGACAGCATGGAGAAGACTATTAGAGTCTCCAAAACGAGAGAGAAGTACAATGTTTCATCTCAGCCCCACCCTTACTTTACTATAACCTTTGACTTAATAATCCTTGCATTTGATATAACGCCTTATCATGTCTTCGAGATGTTTCAAAGAGCTTTACAGGATTTTTATGGGCAAAACCGGCAGCCAATTGCGTACAGCAAGTAGTGTCTTGCAAACAGTGGTGTTATTGAGTGACCAAATGTATTTATTTGTTTATTGAAAAATAATCATCAAATTAATTGGATGTGACCCTGAATGGCTGAACTGTAAGAAATTCTCCTGAATTTGCCCACATTTAAAAAAAAACTTAACGGCACTGCTATTTTGTGACTAGAATTGTTCAAAATGAAATTCAATTTAAAATTAACAATGCTTTCTTTAATTTTAGTTGAAAAAAGTTTGAGTCGAGTCCCAGCTCAGATCATCTTTGTGCCATTGTAATTTGCTAACAAGACACCAAAAGTCGTCTCTCTGCTTGCCACTACAGTGCCATTCTAGAACAAAAAAGTTAATTGGATTTTCAGACCTTTTGTAAGCCGATGAACAGATCTTTTTAAAAAAGGAAAATTATGATAACCCAAGAATGATTAATTTCTTTAATTGCCTGAGAATCTCAAAATGAATTCACGGCTCCATCGATCTGTTCATGCAAACATGAAAGCAAGAGCGAACAAATGAATGTACTAACAATGAGCCTGTACATGTTCTACCTCCCAATTATTTCTAGTAGCCTCATCTGTGGTCCACTTCTAATTGTCTGCCCTTGATTCTGATGGTGACAAACAATTTGAAATGTGGTCAAGCTTTTAGTAAATCTGTGCCATCAGGCTTCATCTTTTTCTCTTCCTCACAATGCAATGTGTTAATGCTGTGAAGAATTTGGATGGGGGAGGGAAGGGAGCATTCAATACTGTACAAGAATTTTCCCTTTCAATTTAGCTCCTCACAGTATATTTGCCCACAAAATATACAGTCAATTCACTTTACAGTATATTCTATGAAGTGCTTTGAGACATCTTGAAGACGTGATCCAGCGCTATATCAAATGCAATGATTATTATTATTATTTATTTAAAACCATAGAAATCTACAAAGCAGGAGACTGTTCGGCTTGTTGTGCCTTTGCTGGCACTTTGAAAAGAGCTCGGTTTCGACTCATCCACAGATGGTAGGGTAGGGTGCTATAGCAAAGAGGGGACTAGGGATAGAGAAGACTGTACTAATTCCATGGAACACCAACGCAAAGCTTGATGGACAGAATACAACTACTATAATTTCTATGATTCTATAAAAAGTGCACTTCTTGGCTGGTTTCTCGTTTACCCCGTTGCTGCGCTGCTGAAACTTGGACTGCCTGTAGCAAGCCTGCAAAGTAAATGCTACTTGAGAATAATGAACATAAAGGTCATTTACATGCTTAGCTTTATTCAAAATCATGACCAACAAAGGTCACAGCAGCCATTAAAGGTGTCGGGTTTGACAGTTGCTTAATTATCATCAAAGGTTCATTGTCTTCTGAGTCTCCTGAAAAACGTCATTGTAGGGCTCATTATATTCCTGTAGTGTATTGGTTAGAGCACTCGCCTCGCAAGCGAGAGGACCTGGGCTCGATTCCTGGGCAGGGCAAAACATTGGGCAAGTTTCCTTGCTCCACACACCACTTATTTACCGAGCAGTAAGAAGAAACCCGGTTGTTAGTCGATTGGCGGATTGCAAAATACACAGTCAATTCACTTTATCTTATATTCTGGGAAGCACTTTGAAACGTCTCAAGGACATGATAAGGAGCTATATCAAATGCAAATATTATTATTATTAACGTGCCAAATAATTTTGCCTTCATTTCTGCAATGTCCTCAACTGTGAGCAATGTTCTCTTGTTCTTTTGAAATAACTTCATGTAAGAAACTCCTCGCAGCATTTTAAACACCTTGTTCTGTGAAGAATTTTGTGCAAACAGAGTATGGAATTACTTTTTCAAGATGAAAGTCTGTACTTGGGTATAATTCTGAAGGTGATACTGTATGGTGTTAGTATGAGAAATGTTTCAGCTGCATTTAAAATTAGGTTTTCAGTCACTTGTTCTTGTAGAAGAGATTATTTTTCAAATCCGCAGCCAAATCCGATCTCATTAACACTTTTGAGATCAACTCTTTTTCTCTCTGCCCCTCTCATTTTAATCGTTCTTTACCTCCGCCTCAGCACACAGAATGAGAGCAATGAAGCCTGACCTTCAGCGATGCAAGAAAATTACCCCTTTTGAACTCTGTTGGCATTTTACCGCAGTGATTTGGCAGTGAGACTGGCGAATTCTGTAGGGGGAGGCATTGCTTTGACCTTGTCAGTGACACAGACTTCAGAAAGGCATGATCGGATAGGGTGAAGGAATGAGAGTTGACCTGCTTGTTGACCCTGAGGTTGGTAACCAGATTGATCAATGCGACAGATTCTGTACACATTCTTTCCCCTTTTTTTTAAACAAAAAGTGTGTATCTGCACAATTCACAGACCAGCTCTGAGTAATTAAAAATAAATTGTTTTCCTTGTGCTTTGAGTTGGAGGCAATTGTCAAACTGTTCTTAAGAGTGAAGGTAAAAGGTTTCAGAGAAATTCTGCTTTAAATATTAAAACTGTCAGACCCATTCTTTTTTAGATGTCTGACTTTTATCATTCCTGTTCCTTAATTGGTAAATAAAACATGTCCTTGACATGCTTGGTGCCTTTTTTTTTAAAAACAAGTTTTTCCACCTTTACTCCAATTTTGTACATAAATATTCCTTGGATTTGATGTGAAACATTTTGATGCTGTACATCAAAATGTAATGGTCCCTTACCATCCCCTACATTGCCCGCTAAGTTTCTAAATCAAATGCAAGGATTATTATTATGACCATAGAGCCACCTGCGTGCTTCAGTGATCTACAAAGAATGGGAGTAATCAATTTATTGCAATTGTACAACCTTCCACATGTGGACAGCCAAGCTGGAGTGGATCGTTCTTTCTAGATGATCTCACAATTGAAATGGTCGTATATGTAAGCGCTGATCTACAAATTTCCTTACTTGTAAAGTATGCAAATTCACTTGCTGATTCTCAGTCAAATCAATTATTATTACAGCAACCAGTTTGCTTTTCTAGTGAACTGTACAGTTCTTTGTTTAGTCCGAAATTTTCTGTCAAACACTGGGCTATTCAACTCAGTGCAGCGCCACCTTCTCCAGGTCAGAAGGCGTTTGATTCAGAGTCTGTGCTGAGTTACCTGATCTCAACCTGAGGAGCTGTCAATACTACCATTGACTTTAACATCTCGGCTATGGAAGGAGGGTGGAATGAGCTAGGTTTCCTGCTCTTAAGTTGAGCGAACCCTGCTATAATGTATGTGTGCATATTCTCTCACCTTAAGAATGTTCATTTGGATGCTGTAAGCAGCCCGCACCCCCACTTGGATGAATGCACTCAGCAGAAAAGCACTCTTAGGAAGGGAGAACGTGGTAGAAATAATTTCCTTGTCGAGAAATTGTCAACAGATGAAAAAATAATACTGCAGTTGCCCCACCCAATTAATCCAAAAACTCCAGAAGCTTCAGTTAAATTGGGTTCAAATTATTTACGAATAAGTACATTAGGTGTTGGATAATAATAAAAATCCTTGCATTTGATATAGCGCCTTATCACATCGTTGAGATGTTTCACTGAATATATTATAAAGTGGATTCACTGTATTTTGTGTGCAAATTGCAGCAGCCAATTTCACACAGCTGTTTCCTGCAAACAGTCGTGGATTGAGTGACACTTTTTTTAATGTCAGTTTTGTTGGAGGTGGGATGATTGAGCTGTGAGATCTAAACTAAATTGTGTTTAGCAATCAGTCTAAGTGTTGAATAGTTGGGTGTTGGCGGTATTTTCATGTAGTTAAGGTGTCGATGGGGATGAACCACTGTACTGTGTAAATCAATACCAAAAAATCTACCACATAATTTCCATTCTAAGCTGGCATGAACCATATAACCTTATCGACTGGAAACTTAAATTACTCTTCTTTTCATGCACGCAGTGAATTATTGATATTGGTGAATTAAATAACTTGATCATCAATGACAACGCTCCTGAAGAAATCAGTCTTCACACCAGCATTAATAGTGTATTGTGCCCCAGGAAAATCTCTCTGACCTGACCTGCTTTTGTACCTCAATAATTCCTGAGACGTTTATTCGGCTGGAAAATGTATAGAATACCATGTCTACATGTTCTTGAAAGACGATTTCAGGTTGAGTTAACAGAAGATTATAATTCCACTTTCTTCAAAGGTAACTAAATTGATCATATTTTCTATTAACGACAATAGCCTTTGCTTTTCTAAAATATATATATATATAATGCTGAATGGTAGGCTTTTTGTAACAGTGATTACATTTTGTTGTGGTTCAATGGATGTCGTTATAATGTTCTTAAAGGGGCCCAATCACTTGTGATCATTGTTCTATTCTTCACATGGCCCTTCCCCCCCAAACCAGAGATTCCAGTTGTATTTAGAGGAGATTCACAAACCCATTCATGTGGAGGTGTTCGGTTTAGCAGTTCAGTTCATTGGTGGAACTGTAATGAAAAGTATTGCTTGGCTTCTGGTTAATTTCCCTGTTGTCTAACTGTTTTCTAATCATTTCCCTGTATCCCAACACACACTGGGGTCCCCAAGCCTTGGCTCTGCCAACCTGCACCTAACACTTTCCCAGATTAGGTAAACAGTATGTGTCCCTCCAGGAAGAGAGTGCGCATTCCATTCCAACAATCTTATCTCTGGGATTTCCATGTGTACAGCCGATGCATGGAATTCTCAGGTTG